TATTGTGACACAGGATCTAATTAGTGCACTTGTCAGCGTATCCACTGTTAGCGTAACACACCCGCTTTAAGGACACTGACTGCTATTCAATCTATAACAGTGAAAAAAGATTATTTTTTTTCTAAATCCAAACTATTGTGACACCAGATCTAATTAGTGGCACTTGTCAGCGTATCCACTGTTAGCGTAACACACCCGCTTTAAGGACACTGACTGCTATTCAATCTATAACAGTGAAAAAAAGTTTTTTTTTTTTAAATCCAAGCTATTGTGACACCAGATCTAATTAGTGGCACTTGTCAGCGTATCCACTGTTAGCGTAACACACCCGCTTTAAGGACACTGACTGCTATTCAATCTATAACAGTGAAAAAAGTTTTTTTTTTTAAATCCAAACTATTGTGACACCAGATCTAATTAGTGGCACTTGTCAGCGTATCCACTGTTAGCGTAACACACCCGCTTTAAGGACACTGACTGCTATTCAATCTATAACAGTAAAAAAAGTTTTTTTGTTTTTAAATCCAAGCTATTGTGACACAGGATCTAATTAGTGGCACTTGTCAGCGTATCCACTGTTAGCGTAACACACCCGCTTTAAGGACACTGACTGCTATTCAATCTATAACAGTAAAAAAAGTTTTTTGTTTTTAAATCCAAGCTATTGTGACACAGGATCTAATTAGTGGCACTTGCCACGTATCCACTGTTAGCGTAACACACCCGCTTTAAGGACACTGACTGCTATTCAATCTATAACAGTAAAAGAAGTTTTTTGTTTTTAAATCCAAGCTATTGTGACACCAGATGTAATTGGTGGCACGGACTGGGGAAATGGGCACAGTATGCACTATGAGCCTGACACAGAAGCTGGCAGCAGTGGCAGACAACTGACTGCTATTCAATCTATAACAGTGAAAAAAGTTTTTTGTTTTTAAATCCAAGCTATTGTGACACCAGATGTAAGTGGTGGCACTGACTGGGGAAATGGGCACAGTATGCACTGTGAGCCTGACACAGAAGCTGGCAGCAGTGGCAGACAACTGACTGCTATTCAATCTATAACAGTGAAAAAAGTTTTTTGTTTTTAAATCCAAGCTATTGTGACACCAGATGTAATTGGTGGCACTGACTGGGGAAATGGGCACAGTATGCACTGTGAGCCTGACACAGAAGCTGGCAGCAGTGGCAGACAACTGACTGCTATTCAATCTATAACAGTGAAAAAAGTTTTTTGTTTTTAAATCCAAGCTATTGTGACACCAGATGTAATTGGTGGCACTGACTGGGGAAATGGGCACTGTGAGCCAGACACAGAAGCTGGCAGCAGTGGCAGACAACTAAGTGCATTTACATTACATAGAAAAAAAAAATCAAAAAAAAGCATACCCCTATCCCTAACCTAGCTATGCTTTTCCCTATCTTATGAACAGCAGCTACACTTTCCCTCCTCTTACTAAGCATGCAGCTTGAGAATGAATCTAAAATGGATGCCTTCCAGGAGGTGGGAGGGTCTGCTAGGGAGGGTGTGCTGCTAATTGGCTGGAATGTGTCTGCTGACTGTGAGGTACAGGGTCAAAGTTTACTCAATGATGACGAATAGGGGGCGGGTCGAACAGCGCATATGTTCGCCCGCCGTGGCGAACGCGAACATGCTATGTTCGCCAGGAACCGTTCGCCGGCGAACCGTTCGGTACATCACTACTGACAATGTAAATTACAACACACTCCTGTACACAATGACACTAGCTAAAGCATCTTACTTAGTGTGCAGTATAAAACATATTACTTACTCTTACATTACCACACAAGGGAAACAATGGCAGCTAGACTAGATTCAGTTCAGTCGGACTTTCAGTTCTTCCAAATTTGGATTGATTAGGATTTTTGCCAAATTTCCGAATTCCAAAGCTTAATATACCAGAATCACATATCAACTAAATAGTGCAATAGAAGAGCCAGTTTGGTTTATTCTGAATTATGTTTGCTGTGCAAGCTGCTACTAGCCACTGCTAGTTAACACCATCTTTTAATCCCTTATTTACATCTTGAGAGTTGTTTTGTTGTCAAGGGGACCCTATATATAAGCACCTATTTTCCTTCACATTCAGATGTCCCAAAATGTGTTGTGGCTTATCCAAAATCTTGCAGTTAGAACAACATGTTTTGGCCCAAACATTTTCCAGACAAAATTAATTTTCGACTGAATCATTTTGGCTGAACTGAAAATTTTACCCCATACAAGTTTAATGCGTCCTTCTGCTTTACAATGCTTTCCAATGGGGGGCAGGGTTATTTTGAGCCTGACTCTCGTCCTACATGTGCTTTATGTCCGTCCCCCCCACCTGCTGAAGCCGGCAGAGGAGGAGCATCATTTGTTTTCCTAACACTATAGTTTCCATTTAACCTACAGCACAGGAAAGGATTTGCCACAGTAAGAACAATATCTGTGCAATAATTTGTCTGAAGATGTCCTTTTATCATATTCTCTAGATCATCGGTAGGCAACCTTTGGCACTCCAGATGTTGTGAATTACATCTCTCCTGATGCTTTTGTACCATTATGAGTGGGAGTGCATTATGGGATATGTAGTCCACAACATCTAGAGTACTGAAGGTTTCCTACCCCTACTTTAGAGACTTTTGGAAAAACAGAATATTATAGAGTATAATAATTAAAGTAGGGGGTAATTATGTATTTGATTTCCATTTTGGAATCAAGAATGATTTTTTTTCCAATTTTGTAGCACAATTCAAAATAGCTTAAGACTGTTTTTTGTTTTACTTCGGATCAACTGCAGTAACAAATGTGTGAATGGATGATATTGAACCTAGATTACTATTTAAATATCTCAGATGGGGTGTCATGTTCTTTTTCATGTTCTTTAACAAGAACAGAGAATATGAGAACTCAGAAAATTGACAAAATGAATGTGAAATTTAGAAAAACTAAGTAGCATGCCCTTCAGTTAGTCCCCACTCAAAAAAAGTCTCAAAAATGTCTTTGCTCAGCTGTACCATTACAAAAAAAACCTATTTAATTTGTATATCAGACTGATCCCATCTATAGGGGAAATCCAGAACCAAAATGCCAGCATGTTCTCTCTGAATGGGAAATACAGCATCCCGGGCAATCATTTCGACTTCATTTTGACCTGGAGTTCGGGATTTCAAAAATCAATGTGGCTGAATAGTAGTTAGTAATTAAACACATTTACAAGTCTAGAAAATACAGTAGTAAAATAGAAGGCATATTGAATCCAGTACAGCACTATCTGTGATAGATGCGGACATAAATTATTTGAAGACTAGTCAGATAGAATCTAATGTAGACTTTAAAATGGTTTTCATCTCCCATAGTTCCAACCAACCTGCCAAAGCAGATTTATATGACCTGGAAACTTAGAGAATTGTAGTCAACTTGTGAAAATCGGTTCTCGTCATATAGGAGAACATGCATTTCTCAATAGATAAATGTTTACTATTTAATGTTAATCATTAAATGTGGTTTCATTTGCATCAATAGTAAAACAATAACTGATTTAATGTTTGTTTATTACAAAAATGTTTGCCAATATGTTTTGACCTGAGTTGATTAAACTCTACTATATTATTTTATGAGTATTGATGCTTAACACATATGCATACATGGTTTAAAAGTACTTTTGCTACTAAATTATAACTAAATTATAACTTGATATGTAATATGACTTCCATCACACCACATTCTATACATCTAAATATTAAGCAAATATATTGGCTTTATGTTTGTTAAATAAATCATGACACAGTGTAATATGTCAAGTGTTGTTCTTCATCTGAGGTTGTATTAGCTCATTTTAAAACCAGCTAAGAAACACATGATTGTTATTATGTCCTGATCAGTGGTGTATTGTGGTTTTGTGCTGCCCAAGGCATGACAAAACACAGGCACCCCCCCCCCCCTTCCAAATTTCTCTTTCTGACAGACACAAGCCCTCACTGATGCATGTACTGACATACACTCACAGATACACAGTCATTGTCACACACATTGTTTAACCAACACACAATTTCACTGAAACATACACATTCACAGACATGCACACTCCCTCATTCACAGTTCTACGAAGAAGTAAGAAGAAGTATAGATCAGGATGTTGCCGTGGATGTGATCTATTTGGATTTTGCCAAGGCGTTTGATACAGTTCCACACAATAGATTAGTGTTCAAACTCAAGGAAATCGGTCTAGATGAAAATGCTTGTCCTTGGGTAGAATATTGGCTTAAAAACAGAGTACAAAGAGTTGTCATTAATGGTACATTTTCAAGCTAGACAGAGGTGGCAAGTGGTATCCCTCAGGGGTCTGTTCTGGGACCCCTTCTATTTAACATGTTTATAAATGATCTTGAAGACAGCATTGAAAGTCATGTTTCAGTGTTTGCACATGACACAAAACTTTGTAAAATAATACAATGTGAGCAAGATACTACTTTGCTGCAGAGGGATTTAGATAGACTGGGGGACTGGGCACTCAAATGGCGGATGAAATTTAATGTTGAAAAATGCAAAGTTATGCACTTCGGCGTAAAAAATACACAAGCAATGTATACCCTTAATGGAAGCGAATTAGGGTAACAACACACGAAAAGGACTTGGGAATTGTTATAGACAAGAAACTATGCAACAATGTGCAATGTCAATCAGTAGTGGCCAAGGCCAGTAAGGTATTGTCATGCATGAAAAAGGGCATTCATTCTCGGGACGAGAATATCATTTTGCCTCTTTATAAATCACTGGTAAGACCCCATATTGAATATGCTGTGCAATTTTGGGCACCTGTTCTAAAGAAGGATATTATGGCACTTGAAAAAGTGCAGAGGCGGGCTACAAAATTAATAAAAGGAATGGAACATATCAACTATGAAGAAAGTCTGACAAATTTAAACCTATTTAGTTTAGAAAAACGTCGCCTGAGAGGGGATATGATAACATTATACAAATATATTCGGGACCAATACAAACCATTGTGTGGAAATCTATTCACAAACCAGACTTTACATGCATTTAGACTGGAAGAAAGAAGATTTCGTCTAAGGCAAAGGAAAGGTTTTTTTACTGTAAGAACAATCCGGAGGTGGAATTCTCTGCCTGAAGAAGTGGTTTTATCCATACAGATGTTCAAACAGCTACTAGATGCATACTTGCAAAAACAGAATATTCAAGGATATAATCTTTCAATGTAGGGTAATAACTGCTTGATCCAAGGATAAATCTGACTGCCATTCTGGGGTCAAGAAGGAATTTTTTTCCTAGCTTGTTGCAAAATTGTGCTTCAAACTGTTTTTTTTTGCCTTCTTTTGGATCAACAGCAAAAAACAAATGTGAGGAAGGCTGAACTTGATGGACGCAAGTCTCTTTTCAGCTATGTAACTATGTAACAGTTACACTCACAGTTACACACACACTCACATTCACCAACAGACATACATATACACTAACTGACAGATACACATTCACTGACAGACACATACACACTCACTGACAAACACATATACACTCTCACTGACAAACACACATACACACTCACTGACAAACATGTATACACTCTCACTGACAAACACATATACACACTCACTGACAAACACATATACACTCTCAGTGACAGACACACACTCACTAACACATACA